AAGAAGTAACTTACACAAACTTGGCAAAATAGATTAGCAACACCATTGTGGTGGTGGCGGCTGTTGACTATAAGTCATATTTTCTGATTTTCTTTTTTATTATTAAAGTATATCTTGTGAATTTCGAAACAGCTTTACTATTATTATTTTTATTATTATGACTGATGAAACAATTTTCAAAGTTTATAGAATTTTTCCGAAGTTTTTGTGATAAAGCGTGTTATTCATATCGGTGTGATGGTAGGTGCTTTACGTTTACAGGTCTAGTTTTCTTACAATATCGAAACGAAACAAAAAGAGCCCTTCTTCCTAACGAAATTACATCAATAGATACAGTCAAAGCTCTGTTTGTACGGTCATTCCCGAAGCAACTCAGTATGGAATATTTAGACTCACCTTTAGTCAAAATCTACATACACGATTCCTCCAAGGACATGTTTTATGAACTCGAAGACGTAAGGTAACAAATAGAGTCTCTAATTTTTATAAATAAAAGTCTTAAAAAAATATTTTGGTCTTCCGAAGGTCTCATCTACGTGAAATACGAGATCGATCTGTACTTCGACTTTTCGAATCTACGGACGTTTCTGGGGGTTCATATATAAAAAGCTCAAAACAAATAACCGAAACGTCGGAAACTTGTTAATAGATCAGATTATTTACCCGAACAATACGGATTTATTTTAATAAATTTTAGAGAAACATCTTTGTTATTAATTTAAAATTGCACTTTGTTTTTTCTGTCCTACCTTTATTCCTTAAATTTTCATTTATTTCGTCTTTTTTAATAGAAACAATTGTTGTTTTATTCAGTGCAGTAGAAACTGCAATTATTTCCCGTTTTTGGCAGCCACATTCGAACAATTTCTTTCCCTTGATATACACATCTGTATTTCTACATCAAAGTTTTTACAATGCAGGATTCTCGTGACCCACATTTCTATCCATTCATTCATTTGAACGTTAGGTCAGTCGTAAAACCTCCTTTAAAATACATTAGCTCAGTTTGTGCTTCTACATGTACATATACACATACACTTAGGCATTAACTTTTTTAAAAAATGTGCCGCGGCGCACACCCCATCGCCAGCTCAACTGCAATATAAAATAGCAGATCACATCGCAGCTGTTATTTATACTGCCTGTAAGCGCCATTTGTCACAAACGAAAGGATATTCATCGAAAACAACATCATAATTGTAAACTAACCAGACACAAAAACTGAAAAAACCTAAATTATAAGTGGACACATCTACATTAATTGCTAGTTATTTTAAGGGAGTCATGCGTATAAAATATAATAAAGGATTTCCATGAATCCTTTCAAATTAGTATTTAATTATTTTTAAAAATTTGCCCGTCTAGGGCAATAATTTAAAAAATATTTGATATTAATTGATTAATTAGGTTATCAGAATGTAAGAGTTATGTAAGTCTCTTCCTATTTCAGTTAGTCCATCATAGGATTTTTCAGGAATTGACCATCAGGGAAAAAAATACAAGTACTACATAAACGTTGAACGTTTTTTAATGGCAGCAAGTACATTAGCCGGTATTCTATTAAAATTGCATACAGCGTGCTGATGAGGTCTGGAGAGATCGAATTCGCGAGTCTTGTCTGACGGTGTCGACAGATCATTGCTCAATAATTTACGAAATTTATTTTAGAAAAAACAGTTATTCCGTCTTTAGTCTTTTACCACTACCTCCGAAGCTCTAAATGTGTACTGAAAGTGCCGTATCTTTCCCAAAACATTACTTAGAAACAAGAGTCCATCCTATGTAGGGCAATAAGGATTATTTATGAGCATGAAATAACAGCCCATGTTTCGCTCTTAGTCATGAAACTTATCCAGGATAGATAGTATAATAATTAATTAAAAACACCACTTTACGAATAAAAAACTGTATAAATTAGACAATACATACCATTAATAACTAAACATTAAATAGCTTCATGTAAATTACAACTTGTAAGCCTACCCTAAATAAGCCTCGTAAGTGAGACAGAAAAGTTGGTTGCAGTTTCACATTAATATATAAACCTTTTATACTCTATACTCTACATTACAAAGATAGAAGAGTGATACTTAGTTTGTATAAAGAGCAACAAGCAGTTATAGAGCTAGGGATGCAACGTAGAGAAGTAAATATTAGGAAGGGAGTCAGACAGGGATGCCCACTGTCACCGCTACTTTTTAATCCATCAACATCATTAAAGACAGTACAACTGTAGGGATAGAAGTGCAAGGACAAAAGATTAGTATGCTTAGATTTGCAGATGATATAGCAGTATTAGCATCTAGCAAGGAGGACCTAGAGATAGCTTTAAATAAAATGGAAGCGGTCCTGACAGATCAGTACTCTATGAAAATAAATAAAAGTAAAACTAAAATACTGATATGCAAGGGAAGAAAAAGTAGGGAAAGAGCGAATATAAAGATAGGAGACGAAAAATTAGAAGAAGTGGCTGATTTTAGATACCTAGGAAGTCAGATAAGTCAGGATGGAAGGAGTAGTAGGGATATAAAGCAGAGGATAGCGCAGGGTCGTGTCGCCTTTAATAAAAAGAAGTCACTTCTATGCTCGCGAACGGTTAATTTAGAAATTGGAAAAAGGTTGTTAAAGGTGTATGTTTGGAGCACGGCATTGTACGGGTGCGAAACATGGATATTGGGCGCGGAGGAAAAGAAAAGGTTCGAAATGTGGTGTTATAGGCGGATGATGAGGATATCGTGGGTAGAAAAGGTTAGAAATGAAGAGGTATTGGAAAGAATAGGAGAACAGAGGACTCTATGGAAGTCAATAAAAAATAGGTGACATAGGTTGGTAGGACACCTTCTCAGGCATGAAGGTCTAGTCAAAGACATATTAGAGGCAGAAACAGGAGTTAGGAGGGGTAGAGGTAGACCTAGATTAGATTACTGTTCACAAATAGTTAAGGATGTGGGCTGTTCTAGTTTTAGGGAAATGCGAAGTTTAGCTCAGGATAGGAAAGAGTGGAGGTACGTGTCCAACCAGTCTTAGGACTGACGACCTTATGATGATGACTCTATATTATTCCCCAAAGTTTCTCATTCTTACCAATACAATTAATTTTTCTATTGCATGTTACTTTTCATAAAGATTACGTCAAAAGAGGCAACATAATTAAAAGCTTCTTCGAATGAGAAATAATAAAAAGAGAAAAAAGAAAACGTTTCATATTTTTGGACAGAACAAATAATAACCGAGTTTTCCGTGTCAGTGCTCATTTCCACTCGACCCCGGTGCTAATTGATTTATCAATCAGCGAACGGGCGGTAGCATTTCGACGCAAACTTATAAAGGTAACCAACACATGAGTTAGATTATGTTTGCTTTTCCCTCTGTCGCCAACCGACATAACAAGCGGTTGTCAACTCTTGCCTGCTAGACACGAACTAACTGGGACCTTCCGTCCGTTTTTGGGCTTTACCTTGTCATAATGGTGAATCAAAACTAGGTAGTCTATTATACTGTCACAAAAAAGCGAATTTATATGTTTATTTTGACGTATAACTGCTCCATCAACAACGAATTATATATATTTGGAAATTACTTTAATCTAATACCTATTGAAAGCAGATTATATAATTTAGAATGACTTGTTAACAATTTAACTATAGTTAATTAATAACCTAATAGTATAATAATAAATAATCTTAGCCTGCCTTATTAGATAATTGCAGAACGTAGAGATAATAGGGAATTATCACAGAGTAATTATTATTAATTCCGCTATTTAAACTGAGTAGAAGAATATGCTATCAAATTTCGAAAATTTAGTAAAAAAATTCAACTGTTTTATTGTCTTTATGTTTTGAATTTATGTTAATTTCTTACTAATTTCACTGAATAATCAGTATTTTCAATTCACTAGTCTAGTTACTATTCACTGATTTGCAGTTCTATTATAACTGTAAAGATTAGTGAATATTGGTTAAAGCTTAAAAAATTTTATCAAGTACATTCAGATAGAACTTCTGTTATACTGACTTGATCGATATTTTGCAAGATTTTTATTCACATTAAGGGAAAAACTAAAGCTGATAAGAACCGACTACGTAATTTCATAAATCTTAAGGGGCCCAGTTAGTTTGCTACCACTCAACTAACGGCAACCCGATCTTCCTATAGCTTACAGTTGGCTGCGTAGATGACGATAGTAACGAAAGCTCAGGGACAATGAACAAACATCAATTAGATTGTAGCAGACGATGGGGATGAACAATAAATGTTAACGCTTCCGAAGTTTACTAACAGAGTTCATTTTCGAGCTAGCATTACCTATTTGTAAACAGGTACTGAACGTCATTTATCAAGATCAATCTTTTCTAATATCGTTTTATCATTAGTTATGTTAAAATATTCCAGCCATTATTATAATTTATTCTTGTTGAGAAAATCAAAAATGCTACCGAAAATATCAGAATAATAAATGAAAATGTTTCGCTTCTATTTCACGATCTATCTGCTGGAATAATTCTTATAAATTAATTTTGATTAATAAATCGATTAATTAATTTTAGTTTTTTACGACTATCGTCTGAAGAAACTGAATTTCCGGATTCTAACCGTGACTTATTGATGACTGATCATGGTGACATTAAAAGTATTCGACGTTTCGTCTCCTATCACAAGCCGCATCTAATTCTGCATCGAGAACGTGAGATTTCTCAAGATGTCCGTCATGAGTATTTCATCAATAATTCACGGTTAGAATCCGGAAATTCAGTTTTTTCATACTGATTTAGATTATTGATGTGTTGTAACCACAGTTTAATTAATTTTACGATGCTCAAATAAGCCCTGCTGGGTAAAACTATCGCAGAGACACTTAGTGCTGTGCCTCAAAGAAAATCCATTTGCATTACAGCGAAAGTACATTATGTGTCTACAACTTCAGTAGACATCTACTTAACGTATTTAAAAACCACTTACTTGTAAAATTGTTGCTGATTTCCATCTCATTGTTTTAGGAGGTCAAAGAAACGAAAACGATGTTAGCGACTTGAAAGGAGGTAGCAGCAGGAGTAGCAGGGCTGCTAGACGAGAGGATCCTCGCAGACATACATTGGGTGGTGCTGGTGACCAGAGATATCACAGCGGTATGAGCCAAGGAGGGCCACTTAGTCGAACAATGGACTTGGAGGTAATTTTTACCAACAATTTATTCGTAACTGCCATTTTCAGTTTTATGCCTGCAAGAGAAACATCAATAAATATCCAATATATTGTATTGTCTTTCGTTATTCATATAATTTATATTCTTTTTGGATTTTGGATAACGTGACCATACGTCTGATACGTTTGAAGGGAACTGCAGAACTGCAAGGGAGTTTATAACTTTTCGTAAATCTGTACCAAAGGAGTGGCACAGGTTGTTCAAAAGTTTTTGGATGCTTTGATTGGAAAATGATAAGTTACTTGTAGTAGAAATACGGAAATTATTTAATGAATTCTAAATTTACTAATTTACCTGTTGCATTTAGAAATTAGTTTTCTGCTGTTTTACTTATTAATGTTTTATACATAATATTTTGAAGATTATGGTTCTAATAATAATCAGTAAAAACCAACTCGAAAAACCCTTTAACCAGCATAAAAAATCATGTTATCTTGGTTTTTGAATTTGAAACGTATCAAGAATCTACCAATAGTTTAATCATTCCATCATCGCGGATTTTTTGGAACAGTCATCTAAGAATATTAAAAAACAATATGTAAACAAAAGACCGTACATATATGTATGTTACAGAAAAAGTTCTAACAGTAGTAACTTTTAGTCCCTGTATGATATAAGGATATGCAATGTAATGCTTATATGTATAAGTAAAGTTTCTTCGTAAATACTACAACTTTACGTATAAAAATTCACATTTAACATTATTACGGTTGTTACGATAATAAATATTTTCGTATTTTGATCAGCTTGACAAAACGATGATTTTCAGAGAATTTTATCTTACCTACAACAAATAGTCACACAATTTTAATCTCTATGAAAATTTTTAATTTATGCCAGTCGACGTCTAATAATAACTCCCACCGCATATTCCCAATACTAACAAATTCTGGATCGTTGCCACAACATCACTTATGCAACGCTTAAAATTAAATTTCCGACTTCCATTATAATTTCTGATGGACTTCGTTATTTGAACGTTGACATCACGACTATTAGGGTCGTTAATTATTCCCTACTTATTCTCATCGTTACATTACAAAGTCAGTCTTTTTTGAACTTTATGCGAGGTCGGACCTTTACTAGTAATAATAAGAAACAAAGACTCGAATTATTACTGAGTTTGTGATTCAGCAAAAACGCGAAATTTACACGAGATACAAGAAGAGATTAATAAGTAGTGTTTGTGACATAAATTAACGAAAAACATAAATTACAACGTACGGTCACAATGTAAATCAAGATTTCTACATAACTTTTGGAGCTTTTAGCCCTTCACGTTACCATAAATAATCATTAAAAATATCAAAATAATCCGATTTATTTGATATTTTGCCCCCTTGAAAGTTCTATTCATTATTAACAAAATGTTTTTCACTTTCCTTAATTTTTTAAATTTATTATTAAATGTTCTGAATTAAAAAAAAAACAAAATTAATATTAACGCGTTAGTCTGATAAAGAAATTAGCCTTTAACAAAACACAGTATATAATTAATTGTGCGAGACACATCTGTAAAATTAATTTAGTGATGCTGTTAATCATTAGCAATGAAACAAAATGGATGCTTAATGTTAAAGATTATTTTTTTAAACCTGCAAAAACCCTTAAAATAGATATACTTTTTTATTGTTCATCTGATTTTTAATAATAATTGAATAATAATTCTTATATATTAAAAGTTAGTTAAAAAACAATTTCATCACTATAAAACTGCGTGATTTTTGAAAAATGGTGTTTAATAATATTTTGCAGATGTGACTTGTACAATTGGTTACTTACTATTTTTTGTGCAAAACTGATTGCTTTAACCGAAAAAAATAAATGACCTCCTTTCCAAAAACGTGATTTTCAAAAGCTCATGCGTTCTTCTACTAAAAATAACATTTACCGGGTCGTTTCTTGGAAAAGATGGATTTATCTTGGAATAAATTCAATTCCGAATTGATCCGGTAAAAAATCCAATTCGCAGTTCAATTGCTACCAGCACTCGAGTAAATTTATTCCGACAAATTGGCAGGCACCGTCACATCTTTCTTATCACGATTTATTTATAACAATCTTAAGTTTGGCTACCATCTTAATTCATGATAAAAACAAATAAAATGTATATATAATAGTTATCGGTAGAGAATCATTTTCAAAAGACAGCTACAGTTTTCGTCAAATCACAAATAATCTATAAAATAAACTCGAAACGTTATTTATTTATAAAAGAAATGTCTTTAAAATCGATCATAACGTCGAGGTATCGTCAAAAACCTTCTGAAACCCTGTCAGAAACACAGAAAAATGTTAAAAAAGCAAAGGACTTGTCCGCCAAAAATTCTGGCAAGAATAAAAAAGATCAAAATACAGATGTCACAGCTAGTGTTAGTGAAAAAATGGAAGGCGAATTTCAGCAAACAAAATTGATTAAACTGACGGAAACCAATTTTCCAATTTCGGGAAATGTACCCCTTAGTTTCAGAATTAAATTTCTCTCCAACCAAGATCTGAGGCTTGAAAAGCATTCAAAGGTAAATCTGTCAATTAAATTATTATGCGGGCTCCCAATTGTCAAAGAAGAAGCTGATTAAATTTTAAAACTGTTGTAAATCAGATACATTAAAGATAGTAATGGTGAAAGCTATTTATATAAAATACACTTTTATACTTTTAGATACTTTTATTTTTTTTTTGTTAACTTAGCAACGTTTTATGTTTAAAAAAACTAGAAATAAACACTTCAACTTTTAATTACTTCGAGCAAAGACTGAAAAGAATAAATTATCAATTTTTAAAATTTAGTCCAAGACGCATTAAAAATAACGTGATTTATTTTTATAATAATATTGCATATTTGCCTCCAAATAATTCTATTTTATAGGAAAAGTGCGACGTTTTCAAAAACGCTCATACATGTTGTACTGTAGAATTAGATGCAAATTAAAAAACTATTTTAGAATAATACACAATAAAATATATATTTTAACAATAGTTGAAGTACCTTTTTATAAAATCAATATTATTCAAAATGATAAATATGAAATAATTTAGCATAGACAATTTCAAATATAAATAAAATAAACGAATTGAATTAATAAATCATATAATAGTCTATTATAACACGAAAAAGTATAAAAAGCACAACTGATATACCTGTGATTTAATGTCTAATTGGAAATGCAAGTTGAAACCTGTTCCAAAGAGAAATTAATGATAAAATGTATGGTATGATTTTTTAAAATAGGTATATTAATTACTATTAATTAACAATGTATTGTATTTTATTTACCTATATGTAGTAAATGATAATACATATTTTTAATCTTAATTTTCCCAAGAAAATTAGGTACGTTGAACATCTATCCTGAATTATCCTACCTTTTATATCAGCAAAGATAGTAAAAATTTATAAAACGAAGAAAATAGAAAATGTCTAGATGTTTACGTACAGTTTATTCAACGGCCTGAAAACTTTACGATCTTGACACAAACACTAGTGACCAAAAACATTTATTAAAATACATGCCTTCTACACCAGTACATAAACACTTAACATTTCTTTTAAAAGACTTTAATCAGAAACATTGACTACATTTCCACAAATTACATTTATATACAAATGTACTTACCAGTAATCATAATCCGTATTAGTCACATTTTTTTCACAAAACATACAATGAAGCAGGACGAGCAAGCTCATACGTACACACACTAATAGCTACAATTCCAGGACTGCGCAGAGATGATCATCAACGTGTGCTTATTTGTGACTCAATTTTAATTTGATAACTAGTACGACCTCTTTAAGAAAAACGTGTAACTAAAGATAAAGCATCTCTATTGGTTTGAAACTAATACGTTTGATATTATAGTTAACTGAATGGCCTGACGTCGTTGCGAAAGGCGAAAATACTCTCTATGATAGATAACAATTATAAATTGCATGTTAATTAAAATTACAATAAGAAGAAAAATTTTCTTCTGATGACATTACATTTCCTACCTTCTTTTTTCAAGAATTTAATTTTCTGTTAATGCATCTGTTAGAAATAGATAAAAATTGCCAAAATTTTCCTGCCCTTAACATTATTAGGGTAGAAAAACAGAACCGAATGGATATATCTATGTATCTAAACTGCGTTTCGTTCTTTTTCTATAATTTACAACGGAAGATCGACAAAATCCTTTTAATTACAGGGTCAGTTATCGAGGGGTTACAACCCCCATTCGAACGCGATGTTGTTTGATGACGATCCAGGAATAATGTCGGAGGTTGAAACAAGTTCAACTGGTTTCAGAAGAGGAGGAAAACAAAGAAGTTCACTCCCCGTGGTACGGACGCCAAGTAAAACTTTGGAGCGACCATTAGGTACCGATAATACCTACATTGTTTAATTCCAAGTTTCAAACTTTTAATTCGTCTTTGTTTGTGATGTATAAGCTTGCCTCACACACCCGCCGCTTACATTACTCTTAGATACAAAGTTTAAACCCTAATTGATCACTTCCAACAAAACTACTTCTAAGAAGTAACTTACACAAACTTGGCAAAATAGATTAGCAACACCATTGTGGTGGTGGCGGCTGTTGACTATAAGTCATATTTTCTGATTTTCTTTTTTATTATTAAAGTATATCTTGTGAATTTCGAAACAGCTTTACTATTATTATTTTTATTATTATGACTGATGAAACAATTTTCAAAGTTTATAGAATTTTTCCGAAGTTTTTGTGATAAAGCGTGTTATTCATATCGGTGTGATGGTAGGTGCTTTACGTTTACAGGTCTAGTTTTCTTACAATATCGAAACGAAACAAAAAGAGCCCTTCTTCCTAACGAAATTACATCAATAGATACAGTCAAAGCTCTGTTTGTACGGTCATTCCCGAAGCAACTCAGTATGGAATATTTAGACTCACCTTTAGTCAAAATCTACATACACGATTCCTCCAAGGACATGTTTTATGAACTCGAAGACGTAAGGTAACAAATAGAGTCTCTAATTTTTATAAATAAAAGTCTTAAAAAAATATTTTGGTCTTCCGAAGGTCTCATCTACGTGAAATACGAGATGCAGAAATTTTTATGTGCACTTCGATTCTGTGAAATTTTCATCCTAACTACTTTAATTAAAAAGTTTTGTAGAATTTGAAGTGAATTTTAATGATTAATATTTTCTTTAGATATTTTTGAAATACCGCTCCGCTACAATAAATCCCAGAATTTTTAATAAACTCAAGTTTCTCTTTTAATGCTCTTTTCGAATTTGTTGAAATGTCATTTATTTATAAAAAAAATCAGGGATACGGATTTTGCGAAGTGGCAGAATTTAGGAATACAATTGGCTGTCTCTCAAGTGATTCTATAAATTAATTGATTTCTATTTTTGTCACTTTAATCTAAAATGTATAAAAGTACCTAAATCTAAACTGTTGAGGTAATTCATCCAATATATTAACAAATTTCCATCGTTTCGCTTTGTTTGTTTTGAACTATTTCGAGGTATCTGTTAAGTTAAATATTTATTTACAACATCAATATTAATTAATTCTTTTAAAAATGTTGTTTGTAATATATGTGTTATGTATTGGGCTTTTTACAAAAATATGTGCTAATAAAGTACCTAAACAGAAAAAAGAAAAGATTTGAATTTGATACCTACACAGAGGTACCGTTGGATGCAGAAAAACTTTTTTTCATTAAACAATTTAAATGCAGATAATGAAGATTGTTGATGTTTTAAACAAATATTTAAATTATGAAACATATANTTATTAAATAATTTTCATTTATACAATACATATAAATAGACTTAAAAATAAATGGATGCATTAACATAGCAACGAGATTGACAGGCATAACAATCGCACACGACTAGCGCATACATAAAGGAAAATAATAATTTCAAAACAATTATTGTACCTACAATAAGCTTAGAAAAGTCTGCATTGGGTTTGTGCGGGCAGATAATAAGCTCCAGAGTAAAGCTTCTTAGGTACAGATCGCCACGAAAGAATTAAAGCCCTTTCGAATGGTTCTTCTTCACAACCGGAACAAACGTTCATTACTGCGGTAACTTCGGCCTCTGCCGGTTCTCTGTCATCTTCCTTCCGCTGTTGTTGCATTATTGGCACATTGTGACCAATTCCTGCCAAACCGTATTGCAAGCTTTGCTCAAATGTTAATTCAAACGTTGGAGTGTCACCAAGGTAGTCATTATCGCTAAACGACCCAACAAATAGTTGTCTTTTCTTTTTCGAATCGGAAGATTCGTTACTTTCATCGCTGTCACCATTCATTACTGTTTCTTCTGAGTTATCTCCTTGACGTTTAGTTTTTCTTTTCGACGACAATTTCATTCCGAATTCTTTGTCATCTTCTATCGACAAATTCTCAACTTCTTTGTCTTTTTTGTGTTCCCTTTTAAATAACTGATGGGTTTCAAGCTGGGTCTTGTCTATAAATTGTACACTTGCTGGGTTTGATAACCTTGAATGGAATAACTCTCCACTAAGAAGAGACGGACCAGGGGTAGGTAAAATAGGTGTGGCAGGAAGGGGTTTAACACTGTTTTGAAGCAGTTGTTGTTGCAAGAGAGATTGGGTCTGCGGTTTTTGTAACGAATTACCGGTGAGGATGAGGGGTCTAGTGTTGGAGGGAGCTGGACTGGCTTGTCTGGAAGGCTGGCTGAAGAATAATTGTGGTCCTCTACCAGGAGGTCCAGGCAAAGTATCTGGCTGTAAACGAAAACTCAGTCTAGCAAATAAGTGGAAATTTTCGTAATATAACTAAGTAGGTAATACAGAAACAGAAAAACAAATTCAGTATAAATAAATTGTAATCGTTTTAATTTTAATTTCATCTTCTTAATGTCTTCACTCCGAAGACTGGTTCGATTTTAATTGAATTGAAACTAATAAGTGTTACTTACGATTGGCAAATTGAAGGTTCAATTAGGGTACTGAATATTGCAAATGAGAATTACTTATTGTTGAAAATAATTGTAAAATACGCTGATTTGCAGAATTGTGAAACGGAATTCTAAGCATCATAAATTATTTATTTACGGTAAACAGGTTCACTCTTTTTGCATCACTAAATAGAAACTGTTGCATTTATTTTAAGGTGAAAACGGTTGGCGTAATCTGGTAATCACCAGCTACACTAGGTGAAAATAACAATTTTTAAATAGGCACTTAAATTAATATAAATTTCGTAAAAATAAAAATTTAATTCTGAAATATAGTTAATAAATAAAAAAAACCGACACTTACGTGTGGGAAGAAAGGGTTGTGTACAAAATTCCAAGTAACCCAATGTTGCGGTACTTTGCCAGGTAAGTTGCTGCTAGCAATTTCGAAAGCGGCTTCTGGATTGAGCTGACCGCCTATTAAGAGAGGGTGAGGGGGAAGTGTCGATCTGGGTGATGTAAGAGGTAATGGTGTTGTAGTAATTAAATTGCCATCGTGATCGTAAAGTTGACCGTGATGATGTTTGTGGTCTCTATGAGCTTTACCAGCTGTCAAGGCAACTTTATACAGTTGAAGCATTGTTATTTCCCCAAGCATTCCCCCTGCGCCTAAAATAGGGATAAATTAATTTATTTCTTTTGGTTCAGTAATAGTAAACTTTTATTATGCAACGGAAGCTGCGCGCGTACGACTAACGAAGATTTGTGGCTACGACATAAAGAGCTAGTTCGCATCCCGTTCAGAAGGATAAAAATGACAAACAATTTTATTTCTTTTTTTGGACTTGAACATTTTTTATGTCATTTTGTTTCTCCAAAATTCCTCCTGGTCTTTGAAAGGAAAATGAGTTATAATAAAAAAGAGAAAAACTTTTCAAACAACCGTTCGTTTAGCAAATCATTTCTAAAACTTTTTTCAATTTCTTTTCTTTGTTTTTCTTTTATTACAGCTAAACTTTCCAACAAACTATGAGTTTACAAAACGATTAATGTAAAATGATGGTTGTAGAGCGCTTCGTCGCAAGTTTTCCCTTCGGTATTTCTCCGTTCTTTTTTTTCCGATATTTCTCATCGGGTGAGTTAATGACCGCTGTTCTATTACTGAAACATCCCCGATCGAAGCCCTTACAGCGTCTTCGGAGAAACGTTTAGAAAGTCGAGCTTTTATTTATTGTTTTTGCGAGTTTTTTCTACCTTTGGGAGCATAATCTCCTTCGATAAATCCTCCACCGTATTGTGTTTGTTCTTGGCCGGTGATCGCTATTCCTCCAGATGGTATTTTGTGATCCACTAACTAAAGAGAAAATAGAAGTAAGATAAGAAAATTAACGCTGTAAATTAAGGCTGTTTTTCATTAAAATTGTGTGAAACGATCCGATAACAATCAATTAAAATAAATGGCAATTCGATTATTAATTATCAGCTATTAATATTGATATAGTTACAAACTGTATAAAAAACTGTAACTTAACCTAATTTATGTCAGTCAAGTGAATAATATCAAATGTCAATCATCAATTATTATTTGTTTAAAAGGAATACTAATTCATGCATTCTTATATCGTCTTTTATGTCAATAAAATAGGTTTTGAGATATTGATATTAATCTAAAGATTGTTGTAACTCATCAAGAAATAAATAATCATTTATAATTTTGTTAAATGTGAATGAACAAAGATTACCTCTTGTTAATAACATTCAAAAATTCTAGTGGTATTGTAACACTTAACAGATCTTAATACAAAATTTCTTTAACGAAGAATTATACCACAATAAGGAAGAAACTACCTTTACCTACCTTCCTGAAATAAATTTCAAATATAAGAGCTGAATCTGTGGTTGAAAGAGAAACCAGTGAAAGTTGTGATAAAAGTGCAAGTGAAATACACATATTTGTCTTTAATTACCTGCACATCATATTTAGATCCAGCAGAAGTAAATTAAATAGCAAGTGAAGTGAAGATTATGGTAACAAGTTTTTCTTTGTATAATATTTAAATTATCTATGCAAAAGTTGAACTAATAACAAAACAGTCACAATATTAAGTAATTGTTTATATGCTCAATTAAATCATATAAATCCTAAACCTTCCTTGAAAAAATTAAAAAGATGGTCGAAGTAGATTGAAAATATATAAACAAAAATCGTCTTAACTACACTTAACTGTAATGCTCAACGAAAGCATTTTTCAAAACGTTTGAGTATAAAGCAGTTAATTCTGAAGTTGATAATACAATTTTCTCATCTAAAAATTACAAATTCCTTATAAGAATATAGTACAACTACGCGAAGAAATGGGTAACACATCAAGACCCAGTTCCGTTTCCATTTTGCGAATTACACCAGCAGTTATTGCGCCAGACAAAATGGATTTACCTATATTTTTTGTTTTGTTCTAGCGTGTGCTTAATTCCACTAATGCAGTGTCCTACTTTAGTGGAAGATAAAAGCAAGGATTCCATGAAAACTGTGCTGTAGAAAAGCAAACAATACGTTCTGTGTTTAATACTGTTAACGTTTTTTAGGCTGTTTGTTTATGCATTATATGTCCAAGTCATTAAATTAAAAACCGACGCCGAATTCGTTAGATTCAGTCGAGCGCCGTTTTTGTGTGACAATTGAGATAGATTCCTTCACATTAATCCTTAAACAACCGATTTCATTTTAACTGTAGGAATTATACACAACTTTGCATTACAATATACATTACAGCTAAAAGTTTAACAGACCATAGGAAAATATTGGTAGAGTTAATGATTATTGTGACGCGTACAACATACGGGGTTTTACTCCCCTACAATAACTGAACGACTTGACAGACAGCGACTAATCTTTGAGTACTAAGATATATCCTATATCATCGTTTGTTGGATGTACTGTTACTGGGACTAGTATAAAATTACGACAATTTGTATAGATAAACTTCTTATGTTCATTTAGTCCATCAACTTGATCACTGTAAATTCCGTAAGCAAAATAAATAATAAAAAGTAAAAGTAAAAGACAAGATACACTTAAATACTGGAAAAAAAGGTAAAAAGGAGAAAAGGCCAATAGCAAAAAAGTGAAAGAGGAGGAATTACCTTTTGGAAATTATCTATCAATAAAAAGAAAATAAATAATAATTTTGATAAAAGCAATTCCTTAAAAATTTCTTAATTAGAACTTCACAGGTCACCACTGTACACAAAATTCGTCCGAACTACCGCTACAGACATCTAAAGCTAATCGACTTATGGAACGAATTATCCTTCGCGTTTTCCATGGTCAGTTAAAATTTTACCAGTTAATGCAAGAAAATCAAATAGAGTAAATGTCTCTAGCTGGAGATGACACCCTAAGTGTCGAAACACATCAGTGGCGTACGTTATACTAATAGGACGAACGCTAAAATTTATTGAAATCACCATGAATACTTAATGTTCAACATTGCTAACGATCAGTTATAATTAGAACCATAATATAATTAGATATGTGTGTATATAATATATCGACCCAGATTAGTGACCGACTGCATAATAATAGGTACTGCTACCCGTAATGACAATCGCTGTCTACTATTTTATTATCAATACTCGATATAATTATAAAATAGCGAAGGTCAAACGAAGTTTTTGAAAAGGAATACTTTTAACAATTCGCATGTCCTATTTGTTTGTAAACATTTGCAGAATACATTCTCATTTATAACCTTGTAACCGCTAGAATAATTACATCAATATGTTTCTGCCTACCTAGTTAATCCCATACAATATTGTACGAGCACCTCAAGCTTCACAGTGTTGTTTTAGTTTATTAATACAACCATCATATTTCAATTACCTAAAGGATGTTAGTTTTTCCGCACAAAAAGCAGGTACGTAAATGAATAACGGAATGAGCACTGACCTAGTAATAAATAATGTTAAAATTCTGATGAATATAATAATGCGTAAGGACAATGTTATGTCCCTTTTGCTATAAAATTAATATTTACTCATGAGCCACCACTGGAAACAGGTGGTCACATATCCTACATCAGCTTATAAAGTTAGTGTTATAAGTAACTAAAGTTATAAATAACTAAATGTAAGGCAACTATAACTTCCCTAGACAAAAATTTTCAGTCTCTCTCCAGTCTCTCAGAGTCTTTAAGAGTCGTCCAGCGTCTCTGAGAGCGTCTCTCACAGTCTCTCAGTTATTGCCTAGGTGTTTTTATGGATCTCTCACAGTTTCTGTATGAGAGACTCAAACGATAAAATTGTTAATTCAGAGATTCGAGTCTCTCACAGAGAGACTGAATGAATAAAACTGAAAAATTGAGAGACTCGAGTCTCTCGTAGAAAGACGGGGTCTCTGAAATATCTTGAACTTAGAAAATTGTAACCAGACTTAGACTTATCGAGACACCACTTATTGAGAGATTCGAATCTCTCGTTCAGAGATTCGAGTCTCTCGTTCAGATTCTGGATACGAAATGAGGATCTCCTTATGAGCGATTTGAGTCTCGTTTAGAGACGCTAAACAGCTTTTTCGACAGTCTCTCTCAGCGACACCAGAGAGACTCGATGAGAGACGGAGACTCGAGTCGCGCTTTCAGAGACTCTGAGACACTGAACATTTTTATCTCGGGTTATAGTTTGATTACTCCTGTCAAAGACTTAGAGCTTCTTCAATCTTAATTCAATTTTATGGTCAATTGACGCGGCTCAGTAGACCAGGTGACTTTTTATTGGACTTATCTCCTATTCAAATATTTAACGCAAAAAGGCTCAAGCACAAATTGCACCAAGAGCTACAAAGTATTTGTCTTTTATTTACCCTATTAAGGAAGCCTCGTCCAACTCTTTCGGCATTTACCCAAATTTGCCATTCGCCTGTTCGTCCGTTCCAACTCTGACAGGAATGGTACCATCTGTTCATTCTTAAAGGATAATTAAGACGATAGAGTGTGTGTCCATGAACTGATAAACTATAGTAACTCGATCTTTCGGTATTTGATACCCAAGCAAGTATGGCACGTGGTTGATTTTCAACTGTAAAATAAAATTTGACAATAAAATGGTACCACTAAAAGCTCCGTATGTGTAGTTATCAATCATCATCATCATAAGGTCGTCAGTCCTAAGACTGGTTGGACACGCACCTCCACTCCTTCCTATCCTATCGCATTTCCCTAAAACTAGAACATCCCATATCCTTAACTATTTGCGAACAGTAATCTAATCTAGGTCTACCTCTGCTTCTCTTAACTCCTGTTTCTGCCTCTAATATGTTATAGAGGCCTCTGTTCTATTCTTTCTAATACCTCTTCTTTTCTAACCTTCTATATCTACGGTATCTTCATCATTCGCCGACAACACCACATTTCGAACGTTTATAACCATTTCTTTTCCGCCGCGCTCACGGGTTCATGTTTCGCACCTGTACAGCGCCACGCTCCAAAATACACATTTAACAATCTTTCTCTATTTTCTAAATAATTTATAGTATAGAAGTAAATCAAGCCACAAATTATTCATAATAAGGAAATGACCAACCCCTTCAGCCTCTTCTTAAAAATTTGTGCCTTAGTCCTTTAATGGTTTTTAGTGAAATCTATAACTCTATAGGTTTTTAGTAACTATCAAAATGAATAATCGTGAAATAGATTATTTTTGTTTTAAATTCGTAAAACAAACAAACTTAAAAAAAATATTTATAACAATAACAATTCAGTGTGTTAGACGGTCAGTCGAGATCGTAAGGACCCTGATGTCCTGCGCGATGGAGGTCGCGGTGTAAACCCAAATACGTTGGTATTAGGTTTATTTTCAGCATCGTGAATCCATGAAGTAATATTTTAAAACTAAGTTAGTGTGTTATACATGGCGAATAGTGAGGATAATTGGTCAACTAATTTATGCTTTCTTTTTCGCTGTCTATTAATTTCAAGTTTACTGTCAAGGTAAAAAACAGTTCCGCTAGCAAAGTCGTATCAAGCAGGTATTAGCGTTTATAAAAAAGTGAAATCGAATGTCAGGTTCAAACCATTGAAATACTTTTTCATTTCTATTACATTAACTTTTTGTTACATAAATACATAAATATTGTCTTTATGGTTTTATATAAATAACTATATTTTGCATATTTTTTCGAAGCGATGATGGGTGTATTGCAAATGCATACAGTGAATAATTTTATTGCAAACGTCTTATATTCAAAAAAAAAAAAAATGAAAATACAATAACGTACTTACAGTATCACAACGACAGGATAGAAGAATAGAAATGGTTTTGGTTTAAAAACAAGCATTTACTAAAAGTTTCCTGTTAATATACTTGGTTTAACAGCAAAATACAATTTGTTTTCTTCTTAACGTTTCCACCCCACTAAACAGTGATTACGCCGTCACAGCCTTATTAAATCCAGATTAAACTGATTTGATTAATTTATAGGTATTTTCAAATTTTATTCCTGGATAAATTAAATATTTGAAAATTAACAATAAAGTATCTATCACCTACTAACTAGTGTTAAATATAAATTGCTTTTGAACATCCGATTTTTATTATAATGCATGATAAGATTCTGTATGGATAATGAAGGTTCATCTTTGATTAAGACAAACAGATGATCACGGGAACTAAAAAATTTTCAAAATATGCAAAATACCGTGAATAATTCTCTGTATACTTCTTTCGCTGTCCGTTTCATGTAAAACATAAACATTGGTCGACCTCAAAGCATCTCAACCATTTTGCAATACTGTATATGCTAAAAATTAATATTGAATTTCATTTTTTGATTTGTAATATGAATTATTTTTCGTCTAAGAATTTGGTGGTCATCTTCTTTAGAATTGTTAATTAACTATTTAATTTCTATCATGTACAACAATTTAAACGCAAAGTTTATTTTTTGTGACTGTTTATGTACACCACGAAAGCAATAAAAAGATTAATTTATTCAATAATTACTGTTACTTGCCTATGTACAAATTTTTAAATCATTGTAATTATTTAAATTAATTAATTAATTCTAGTTAATTTAGCATGTTCGATTATGTTTAATTACAATGAAGTAATAACTGGAAACTGGCACTTGCAGTTACGTGCTAATGTAATAAGAATAACTTGAAAAAAGTGAAAATGTAATGTTTGGGTATAAGTAAGTATAAGCGTATGTTTACATGAATAAACGTAAAAGTTAAACTGCTGTTGAAATGAAAAGTTTGCACCTACTTTTACGTTAGTGAGAGTTAATTTTAAATCATATCGGTATATTAATACGTGAACGAATGTCAAAGTTTGTCTAGATTTTTAAGGTATAAAAGGAGAGGAATGAAAAATCATTTGAAAGGAAAATAGAACGCATTTGAATACGTATGTAATCATTTTCGGTAAGAAGCCATACGAAAGTACCATATGGTGTTTTTCTTTACGATAGCTGTAGAAAATAATGGAAAATTCTGAAGAACGTTGTAACTAAAGCTCTTTACAACGTTTTAAACCAAGTGAACAACGTCATTTGAGAAAATTGTTTATATTCAAATCAGTTGACAAGTGCGTGACTGATTGTTACTTTCATACATCACTAACAACGTAATGAAACGAATGTTTCTGATCTACATTTAAATTTCTTTCTATTCTAACCTGATTTTATGAATGCATCAAGTGCGGTCATTTATACTTTCAGTCATTTGAAAGTAATAGACTGTCTGCAGAACGTTCCTTATTTGTAAGCGAAAGATGATCTTATTCCTGAGGTGACCTTAATTTTTAATTTATTTACTTCCTGTTTGCACTTGTACCTCCAAACTTATTTTTCTCCTCAATAGGTACCTGAGTTGTTCGCTTGAACGAGATTAACCTCCTGAGCAGTGAAAGTGAATTTCATCGAAAGGACATTTTAGACGCTCCTTAAACTCGCCGTTAGTGAATTTCGAACTTTGTCCAATAAAGATTTATAAGGTTGATAAATCACAATAAGCACGGTTGTTTAATTAAGGAGATTGTGCAATTACACACCCCAATAAATTTAATACCGGAAAGGGAGAACGATAAATCTAAGAATTAATTGCTCGACGAGTATTATCTATCTAATTGCAAGATTGTTTGTTACGAAAAATTGAAACATACTCCCGGAAACACATTGAAATAATAAATATATAGATATTACACATAATAAGCAATTTGGTAAAGAAGCAAGCTGAGATCAGATAACTGTTCACAAATAGTTAAGGATGTGGGAAGTTCTAGTTTTAGTTTACAAATGCAAAGATTAAAAAAAATGCGAAGTGGTCTGTATTCTGTCGAAACTACCAGACGCGGATCGCGATTTCGATCTTTTTGGATCTCATCAGCTCGTCGGAGGCAGCTCCGACAGAACACAGACCAACTTTTACCTGCTGTCTTAACAGAGCGTTTTAGAAAATACTACAAATGGCGCAGTAAACGCCATCTGTAGCACGATGCTACATTTTAGGATTACGTATGCTCCAATAAGGTCCACTTATGTGGATATCTACTTGCTGAAAACGAATCCCGGCGTAGCCAACCTCAACGTGATAGGCACGTTAGCTTAATCGAATAATATAATTCGAAGTGGTCTGTAATGTCTGTAATGCAAAGATTATCTTAGGATAGGAAGGAATGGAGGTGCGTGTCCAACCAGTTTTAGGACTGACGACCTTATGATGATGAAAATGTTTGGTACACATATCAAAATCAAAATAGAAGCAGAAAAAAGTCTATTCAAAAGCACCTGCAACACGTAAAAAAATACCTTGGATTTAGGGTAAGGTTGGGTAAATCGTACCATAATCTAAATCGTACCACCGTTACTTTTCATATTTAGGATGCATATTGTGCTATCTTGTGTTCAAACTTAAAACCTATTATTCAATACAAATTAATGTAGATGTCATGTTTTTTGCAATGACGGTTGTATTTACGAATATGGTGGATAATGAAAAAGGCAGTTTACGGGTGTAATATTTCCTTGTCGTGTCTAAGGCTTTATTTAATACTAGGTAAGTACAACACGATGTATTTTAGTATGCACTGATTTAATAGCAATTTATTGTCAACCACACACTAAAAGAAGATTAAAATATGCTGTACAAATGTTTTGTTCTAACTAAGAAAACAAAACGTAGAAGTCCGATAAATCGTACCGACAAACGTTGTTAAATCGTACCGGTACGATTTACCGGCCTAATACTTGTGTTTATGTGTTTTTATATTAAATTAGAATTGAAAACATTTCTTGTAGGGCCCAATGGTCTGTTATTTAATATTAAACTCATTAATACCGGTTGTCTTAAAAATAGCACATATCGCATTTGATTTATCAGACTGTTGTTGTACATAGGTATAATATAAAACTGTAGTGGCAAACAAAAGGAAGTACCATCATTTGCGTTCACTAAACAAAGTAGCCAACGAAAAAAACATGCATTACGGCCGGCTAACAGTATTGGACAAGGATTGGCACAACATCTTATAAAATTAGAAGTTTCTGTGTTTAGAAGCTTCTCTGTTTTGGATAACACCTAACATATGTTCGTCGCCTGACATTTCAAGTTGCTGAAAAGATATATTCCACATACTTTCAACAGAGAAACAGGACTAGGTCGGAAAAATTGGTTTTACAATTTTATGAAACGGCATCCCTTTTTGTCTTTGAGACTACCAGAGAAAGTATCTATTGCTAGATCTATTCGGGATTCAATAAGCAAAGCGTCTCGACCAAAAACAATTCAAATAGAACTAAACAGTAAAGATTGGTATTGCCTAGTATGCGAAAATACTGCTATTGAGGATATAGTGCAGTGCCAAAATTGCAAGCTGTGGGTCCATGAAAGCTGTGCAGGTTCTGGGAAATCTTTAAAAAAATATATTTATGTTAATTGCAAATAAATATTTAGTTTCTTCCATAAAACAAGTTTTAGGTACGATTTGGAGACATAGAGGTACGATTTACCGAATAAGTTTGCCAAATCGTACTGCTCGAAGGGTTTAAGTTTTATTAAGTTTTATATATGTTGTAAGTATTATATTTAGGTTTTCTTTTGCCTATAAGCAAAATAAACTTCTTTTTACTCAAAAATGCTTTTACTAACACTTAATGTAACAAATTAAAATTTAAATCCATGAATTACTTAAAAATGGTACGATTTAGCCTACCTTACCCTATTTAAAGTGAGAACCTTTTTTCAAATAATGAATGAATCTGTCCAACAAAAGCAGCAGGGATTTATATTACCTTTGCACAAGTAAAAATATTATGTTCAGGCTTAATCCAAACAATTTACAAACACAAAATATTAAAATCCCAGAAGAAAAAATTCAAAAAAATAAAATAAAAGATAGGATGGTAGGACATCTTCAACATAATCATCATCATAAAGTCGTCAGTCCTAAGACTAGCTGGTCACGCACTTCCACTCTTTCCTTTCCTGAGCTAATCTTTACATTTCTTTAAAACCAGGCATTGACATACTTAAAGCAGAAGCATGAATAAAGAGAACCAGAAAATGATCTAGATTGGATAACTGTCCGCAGATAGTTAAGGATGTCGGATATTGTAGTTTTCCGCAAACATTGGCTGAGCTTTTGGATAGGAAGGAGTAAAATGTGTCCAACTAGCCCTAGACCGATTACCTTGTGATGATGTTTAGTATTTCTTATAATTATAGGTTTTATATTAATTTAAATATAATAATGTATACTTATTTTTTTTATTAATTTAAGAATTTCAATATTCACTGTGGATTTATACAGTACAATTCACTTTCGAAATATGCTCATAACCAGCAAAGATAAATTAGATAACAAGTGAAGTGAAGATTATATTAGTAAGTTCTTGTTCCTATAGCTAACAGTAACTATTTTCCGCACTACTTAATGTAGTACAACTTGAATAGAATCAGTCACGTGAAAAGGTACATTAAATAGGTATATTTGGTTGCTGCCATTAGGTAAATAAATATCTTAATATTAAAATACTACAAATGGCGCGGTAAACGCCATCTGTAGTACGATGCTACATATGAGGATTACGTACGCTCCAACAATGTCCATTTAAGTATATGGATATTTACTTGCTGAAACGAATCCCGGCGTACTTTACTTCAACGTGTTAGGCACGTTTTTTTTTATTAAATAACTTAATAGATAAATAGTAGTCTTACCTGCATATGAAAATACGGGATGATCGTTACTGTGATTATAAAATTTAGACCAATAACAAAGTGTAAATTCCTTTAATTCTGGAATGCCGATTTTGTATTGGATATATTGAAAATAAAGGTCCTGAGTAAAACCGACTTTGTGCAGTTCACACTGATCACTCGCGATAGATTTGTCCAGGGCCGGCTGTTTATACTGTTGAGCGATTAAACGACTGTATGAAGGTGGCTCGGTGGCGGACGAAACGCCGCTGTGAGTATGGCGATAGACGTCGGCAGGCAGCACAGGCTGCCAGTCGCTCACACAAAAACAAAAAGGTGCCAAAAGGAATAAAATCAATAACTGCTTCATTATGATTTTCTCTTATAATCAGTTTTATGGAGGACGTTGCGAGGGGAAGTCCTTACATCAAGACATTCTGAAATAAAGGATTCATTTGAAATTGGAATCATTTATATTATCGTTGAAAATAAATTAATAATAAAATCATTAAATACGATAATTGTTTATTATTCAACGAATGTTTCCGAATGGCGTATTATTCGAGTCATTTGAAAAGCAAAAATGTGGTAAAATAATTGTCAATAAGTTTCAAATATATTTTCTGCAATCAGTGAACGGTGTCGTATCGTAACTGATGGAAAAGAAATTAAAAAAGGAAATAGTGAAACTTACACAACAGTTTTACTTCAATTTTACAATTTTGTTAACGATTGCTTGATTGTACAACTAGGTATATCTATCTAGTGCAGCACAGATTCCTTCTGTAAACTATTCTTAAGCAGATACTTAATGATTTTGAATATTCATTTGAATAATAATTTTTTTGTAACAATATCTTTTCATCTCATAACATTAATATTTACAATATTAGCAGTGCTTATTTTTAATACTAAATCGTCGATTTACAGTAGTAGAATTTATGATAGTAATAAACACCTGTATGTATTGCAAAATTGCTATAAATATTTGACCAACTTTCTAGTAAATGTCGAAAAAAGACACCAGCTCATTAAATTTGAAACCACAATCACAACCTCGTTTTTCTATTATATATTTCATATATTTCACAATAATAGCTGCTCCTACGAAATTTATATTTCGATTATTTTGATCATTTTACAATCAGCTGTTAATAAAATTACTTTTATCAATAATCAATGACCCCAAATGCCTTAACCCCGTCTTTAAATCAAACCATTCATTACCTCCAATCGTTGGTTTATCAAGAAAAATTGAATCAAATTGAATATCTCCACTTAATAATTTAAAACCAGAAGAAAGGGGTATTTATAATTAAAATTCATTTCGTCTAGTATTAATAAATTAACTTGGTAAAGAAGATTTAATTAAAAACTGCTTTCACTGGTACTATTATATTTACACCTTTAGCAGTTTCCTTTTCAATTTTCATAGAATTCAACTGAACGTACATCAGAGATTTAGAAGTTCAGACTTTCTTCGAACAACAGCAGGTATTAATGAAATTAAATTACTATTTACTAATGTAAGCAGAAGGAAAAGTCTAGGTTACGCTAGTAAAAGACGTAGATTAACAACTACATGATTATTCAAAATCATGGGTTTTACGTATAAATTATATGTCTGCAAAATAGCAACCATTTTTCTAAGCCCATATGGGTATTTGTATGCTATTGAAACACAAATTACCATTAAAAGAACTTTTAAGTGACTGTCTGTGGACTTATTTTATACGATTCAGTCAAAAAATTTAATAAATCGAAAAATACTTGAAACAAACTTTAAAAAAACAAACAGAAAGCCGCCATCATTTCTACCACTTTGACAACAAAGCACAAAAGAAGCATAACTCATCGTAACCTTGCATTGAACCTTGAATCGCGCATAGCTATGAAAATTGAAAAGTTACCTCTTACTTCCTGCAACGTTCATTTAAATTTCTACAGAGAAAACTCATAAAATGAACATTGTAAGATGCAACTAAGTGAAAACATGTGTAAATTGACATCTACGTTCATATAATAGAAGGTAAGAAAATACGCGGAAGTAACAGAAGTTACTCCAAAGTCATGTACATAACATATACAGAAATTAAAGAAGATCACCTTGTGAAAGTGCTCTGCAATAAAAAAAAAATAATTAGTTCTATTGGCAATTAGTTGAGACATTCTCATATTCATATTTGCAAGTTACCTTTCACTTGCTTAAATGCGTTTTAAACTTGAGAGTGAAAATTTAGAACACTACTGTGTAACTGCAAAGGAACTGTGAGGAAAGATTGAATTAATTTTCATGTTTTAACGGTAATAGTATTACGTGTTAGTTATTATTTAGTAATAATCAGTTATTGACTTTATAAGTATCTGTTCATATTTACTATACGACATAGGCAAAATTTACCTACAGGTGATAAATTCTTTACTATTTACGATTACAGTCACAAATCTATACTTGAATTATCATCATCATCATAAGGTCTTCATTCGTATGACTGGCTGGACACGCATCACCACTCTTTCCTATCCTGCGCTAACCTTCGCATTTCCCTAAAGCTAGAGCAACCCATATCCTAATCTAATCTAGATCTACCTCTACCCCACCTAACTTCCGTTTCTGCCTCTAATATCTCTGACCAGACCTTCATGCCTGAGAAGGTGTTCTATCGATCTATCTCGCCTATTTCTTATTGAGTCCTCTGTTCTCTTACTGTTTCTAATATCTCTTCATTTCTAACCTGCTCTTTCCACAGTATCCTCATCATTCGCCTATAACACCACATTTCGAACGCTTCTAACATTTTCTTTTCCGCCGCGCCCACTGTCCATGTACAGCGGCGTGCTCTAAACATATACCTCTAACAACCCTTTTCGAATTTCTAAATTAACCATTCGCGGGCATAAAAGTGACTTCTTTTTATTGAAGGCGACTCAACCCTGCGCTATCCTCTGCTTTAAATTCCTGCTACACCTTCCTTCCTGACTTATCTGACTTCCCAGATCGGTCACATCTTTTAATTTTTCGTCTCCTATCTTTATATTCACTTTTTCCCTACTTTTCCTTTCCTTACATACCAATATTTTTGTTTTACTTTTATTTATTTTCATACAGTACTGTTTTGTCAATACTGCTTCCATTTTATTTAACCTATCTCTAACTCCTCCTTGCTAGATGCTAATATTGCAAATCATCTGCAAATCTAAGCATACCAATCTTTTGCCCCTGTATATCTATCCCTACAGTTAATGATGGTGATCGCGTCTTCGATGTATAGATTAAAAAGTAGCGGTGACAGTGTGCATCCCTGTCTGACTCCCTTCCTAATATTTATTTCTCTACGTTGCAGCCCCATAAATATAACTGCCTGTTGCTCATTGAGTTATAACGTATTTATAATTGAAATTAATAATATAACTTTATGAACTTTAATGATGTATTAATTATATTTAGATGTCCGCCACATATTAGGCGGCATAAATAAAAGCAGAACTTCTTATGGGAAAATTCTTGCATGGTAAAACGTTCAAATAGTAATTTCGTATTTATTCTGAAAGGTCGAATTCCTGCATCGAAATGGCAATTAAAGTACTTATTAAACAATTTGTCTAATCTCAAAAACAAAGTTATTTGTTATATGAACAAGGTTCTGGCACCAATTAAACCATTCAAATTTGCTCGATTTGTTCCAATTCATGGTTGAACAATTTGAATGCTATACTAAAACATATGTAGGTTTGTATGCGTACTATAAAACCCAAAAGGCAGGTCAGTGTTTAAAAGAAAAAACCTATTCAACGTAATTAAAACATACAGTCAAGCAAAAAGAAGCCGAAAGAGAAATGACCACAAGTTATACGTAGGTATTAGGATGTGTATACCTAATTAGTTCCGTTCTTATACATAATATATAAGTAGCTAAGATGAATGAATTTAAATTTTAATTGCGGAATGTAGGTAGATAAATTAAGAACTGATTTTATTAAAGATCCAATGATATTCCCGGCGTATCCCTGGTCGTCCTGATCTAATATACAGATGGATCTATCGACACTGATTTCTGCGAGTGTTAGTTATACAAAAATGAATGCTTATTTTTTTCTTTACTTTATTTTAATCAGAAACCTTCCTTAGGGTCTAGATATCAACTCACTAAACTTCATCGTAATCGGAATAAGGCTTTAGATTTAGGTAACGTACACTCGACAAAGAAATAAACAAACATTCATTTATATATGTGTGTATGCTGAATATGAGAATATGTCTTCCAATTTTCATCAAGCCTTATTTCTGAATATCAAATTCAAAGGGTATTTTTCATATTGAAGACGACAGAATATAAGCCTGATTTGTTTACGTCTCTCAAAAAGCAATATGGCAGCCTTTAATGTGTGCTCGAGTTAATAATTCTACTTATAACTCATTGTACAAGCATGCAAAAAAAAATTAATAGGAGCGACCTTATTTTTCTCTTTTCCATTTTCACATAGTCTCATTTCCAATATTCACACCAAATGCAACCATTTATATGAACGTATAGTTTATGTTTTAGTTAATCTGAAATATCTTAATCAATTGTTCAAAAATGAAAGCATTTTTAGTTTAATGGAATTATAACGGACAATTTTCGTAAGAAATAAGTCAGTAACTAATTATGTTTAAACGTATAATAATTAATCTTTGCTTATCAAAACCGATCCTGCAGAAAGTAACATAAATAGATATAAGAGTTGCAGTATATTTGATCACTCTGGTTTATGTTTCTTTTCCATTTTGTTCTATTTTTACTGTACACTATTCATTGTGAAATTAAATATCTCCCTTTCATTAATTTAATGCCATTGCAGTTTTATTTTCCGAGGACATTATGTAAGTCGTATCTTTCAAGTGTTACATGGGCCAATTATTTAATCACATAAAAAAGAAATTTTGCAATTTAATAAAAGGAATTTCGAAGCGTTCGACGTGCATTAGTAAATTACATCAGTTTCGCTGGCAGGTTGATAATTTCGGACGAATTAAGAAATCGTTTTAAACTGGATCGTAGATTGGTTTCAATAAAACTAAAACGCCTCAATTGTTTAAAAAAATTGTCGAAAATTCAATATTTCATTACATACCTAATTGCCCTATAGGTACCTTTATGAAGTGTCCCAATATAATAATATAATAGAACATGTATCAGTTCTTTTAGCTCAATTAATTCCATGGTTGGATAGATCTGATATTATTCTTGGTTGAATGGTTGTTACAATGTTTATTATTTTAATATTTGCCCATATATGTATGTACTCACGCAATACATTCGTAAGAGTACACTCTCTATGTACGTATGCATTTCTTTTGCATGGTACAAATCATGTAACTTTAAAGAAGCAGAAATGTTTGATGCTCGAACACTTCCATCATTTAAATACAAAAGCTCTTATCACAAATAGAAATACAATTAGTAATCAATAACGTACGCAACAAAAATGGTGCGGATTTTTAAGGATTAGTATGACAGTAATAAGAATTACATAGGTACTTTTAATAAAATAGAACTAGAAAGAAAGTAGAAACTCTTAGATGGGATTGCTGTTAAATTAATACTGAAAGATATTTTTTTAGAAGAGGAAGATGACCCAGAATCTCGGGATGGGGGTTGAATAACAATATACTCATTGATTAGAAATGAAAACCCAAAAAAAAAGAAAGTGAGTAAACAACCAGTATCAACTTGAAAACGTCCTGCAGGTTACACAAACGTAGATACTACTAACTACCCTAAAAACGTTGTTGTGCAATTCATAACTTCCTTGAAATTTTCCAGTTTATATAATGAATGCTCTCTGTTGGTTTGTAACAGTGAATTTTCCCCATATGAATGAGAGACTGATAAATAATCATTCAAACAACTTGGAAAATGTTATTAGGATTTATGAATTGGATTCTGGCATACCAAATTACGACAATTAGAAAACAATTTTGTGTTTTAAATCACTCGAAAGAATCTTATTGATTACAGATCACTAAAAGCAATGAATCCCAAAAAAAAGCAATAGCAACGTAGCTGTTAATTAATACTATTATCTCATTAAAAAAAAACACTTTTCATAGTTCTTAATGTTCAAACCCTAGTTATTTAAATAAGAACCGAATAACATGAAAAACAACAATAGCCAAGTAAAGTACAAAAGTGATAGGAGATTGTGCTTACCGACTTGACTCACAATGACTTGATTTCATTACTTAATAGTAATAAATAAAAAATAATTCAAAGCACCTGCTAATTATTTGTTCCATTATATATATTAACCTTGCTAATTCCAAGATGAAACTGTACAATTCTTTTTAATTAGAGGGGCAAGGACTTTTATGTTTCATTACCTGAGAAAATCATGGCACTTATAAAGTTGTGAACGAGATCACATTCAGTGATAAACAAAAGAAACATTATTACATAACACTTATATCTGTTCTATATAATTAGGTTGGTTGTACATAAAAATAATACATAATATATTTCAAATAAGAAAAATTTTGCAAAATACTGTTTTGGAGTTCAGAGTTTAGCTTATCTTGTATCTTGATCTGTCACTGTGGATATACCTAAGCATATAACTTAAATATATATATATTGTAAGTACTATATGAATTAATAACAGTCAAGCAATGTTAAAATTCCAAAGTTAATATAGAAGAAGTAAAAAGTGTATCAATTTGATCAGTAGAAGAGAAAAAGAATCAGAGATGTTGTCAGTTACTCAGCTGTAACGTGTTTACGTGTGTACAGAATATTTTTTGACAAAAATGTGTTTCCTTAGCCCTACGCATGTTTAATCACGTTATCTTTTAAATAATAATTAAGAGAGAACCGCGGGAAAATTTACCTTTCGGAGATTGCGTTCACCTGTTTCCTAACTTCTGAAGAAAACGCACGATATCGCCACCTTACGAATTCTAAACAGTCTTTTGTAATCACTATCCCGTTTGAAAACTTAACTTTACGTTATACTTTTGCAACAACAATCGTTCACCACCTCACGCGTTTCCTCAAAGGAACTGGACTGAACGGGACCTTTCGAGTGACCACTTTCTTAAAGAAGGCTCTCCACACCGCGGTCCGGCACCGAGGAATTAAGACACAATCTGACAATAGTCGTGGACGATGGATGGTGGAAATAGCCGCCAGCGAGTTCATGTTACTCCAGGTGCTACAATGGCAAGAACAGTGGGGAATACTTTCTCTTAACCCGACACAACGCGATTGTAAAACTTCTACAATTTGCGGAAAGTGATTGAAGTGCGTGTTAAGCAAATCGAAACCAAAATCTTTGCTGCATTTTCCATGGATCGCGACAGAAACTTTCTTGTGTTCGAAAATGACAAGATATAAAATAATCTTTTACACAATTTACTACTCATAATTTATGTCTGTCCAATGGTCAATAAAGAAAAAATCTAGATCTAGATCTATTTAGTCAAATTGTATCATTTTTAAATCCATCCAACTTTGGTAAAAAGGTTGTATTACTAAACACTTTTTGCAACGACTAGTAACACAACATATTTAGTTCTAGAACAGGGTAAATTAAACCACATTAATGCCAGAATAAGATTTTTGCTATTATTAATGTTTCTATGTAATGAACTATTTCACTTTCAAATCGTTTAGAAATTGAAAATGGTAAATGTCATAAATAATTTGCTGGCTATAATAGGTTATGACCAACAGATTTCTCTCTCATGCAATCGACAATATCTGTTTTTGAACGCATATGGTGAATCAGAGCTTTGAGAGAAAAATGTGGAACATTTCCTTTAGAAATGCAATAATTTATCAATGGTTTCTTGACTATTTCCACAGGGCATTCTAAAAGGGAGCGGTGCTATGCACACTTGGTGTTGCTCAATTTACCTGATGATTTATCGTCACTATAAAACGTTGCCCTTTTTTAGAGTTCTTCTATTCTTTATGTTGCCAATCAAAGTATGCCTTCGAGGTGTCTTTTTGAAATGTATCAATTACATTTTACGATTGTTCAAAACTGTGCCGACTTACTTTCAGTCTCTTTGACTTTGATGTAAGGATTAGTAACTGAATATCTGTGGCTATCAATTGAATGCAAATTTTACTAATTTTAGTCATCCTGAAGAAGGAATATTGCTTAAAGTTAAACATTCTTATATGCGTTATTAAAGTTTCGATATCCTCAAAGAACAACTTTTTGAGGCGATCATACGATCCTTGGTGTCAGTCCCGTGTCCTAATTTCTTCATAGACAGTGAACACTAACAACAAATTCAAATAAAAAAGAAAATTTAAGTAAATAACACGATTGTAATGCTTCATAGATGACATGAAAAATAATTATGTAACGTTAATTAAATAAAAAACGTTTTTGCTTTGAGCCTTGACTGGTTCGATAGCGTGGATTAAACTTAAGGACTTCAATGGATGATGTATCAAATGTTTTAATTAAAATTTTAGAAATTTTATTAGTTTGCATATGTTGTTCTTCCTACTGATTAAAATGTTCCAGATAATAAACAATGTTCTTACGATTCTTTTACCACATCGTCCATTTCAATGTTCAAACGTACCATAAAAATTATTTTAGTGGTGTAGTTAATATTAAAAAGTAGTCTTAAAACGTTGTAAATATTTTGAAATTCGCACCAAAGAAAGCCTATCTGCTACCGAATTTCGGCTAGTTAATACAGTAGAATACGCTTATAATGACAAACAGGTCATACTAAGCGGGCGTCATACAAAGCATAGTCTTAGAAAATAAACAACTTTCTATTTTGGTTTTTACTAATTAGTTTAATAGAGAAAAAACTACAAATTATATATATTTATTAACAGAAAAAGAAAAAGAACGATGAATTGTAATATCAATATACATAAGAAGGGTCAGAAAAATGAGCGAAAATGTTACTATTAATCATTTGCGTCACTATAACCGAATATGATTTCTTGAGAATCAGTCATAATAAACGATATGTCATTTTAAACGTAGTCATTATATCCAAACTTTCCTATAGAGAATTTAATATGAAAACCAAACTTAACACTGCAATTACTTCATATTAAGTGGTTGGTCAATATAGGCGGAGTCATAATAAACGAATTCCACTGTNGAGCAATGCAATTGTAGTGGATAAAATGGTCAATTTTTCCGTGCAGTACTGTACGGATTATACGCTCCTCACAGGTTAAGAGTTTGGCCGAGAGTTGTCTCCTTTCTTTTCTGGCCTAGTGCTGTTCTTTTCTACTTTGCGCCGGTCAAACTAAAGGTCACATCGCTACAGAAACTAAACGAAGTATAGAAACATACAAAATGTTATATTTCGCAAAATGATTACGTTACAGTTACAGAAATGGCGCCAAAACGGAAATATACTACATTATTTATAAAGGAAAAAGTTGATATTATCAAAAATTCAGAGTCCGGAGTTACGGTTACATCTTACAACTTTTTTATGTTCCAGATTTGTTTAAAAAATGAAGTATATATAAATATGTATGCCTAATGTAACAAACGACTACTGTTTGATAATTCGAACAATCCTTTGCAATAATTAGTTAGGATTATTGAGGTTGTACTATACTTCAGTGCAAAGATATAAAGAAATAAAAGATAAATATTCGATGATTAATGCATTGGGCTGAATAAGATTGCAATCTAGGTTTGTTTAGGTTTTATTACGTCGTTAGTTTAATTAATAAAAATTCCTAAATGAAGATATTTACCTGTCAATATGGCATACCTTAACAAGAATGTCCGAATGGCGACGATCAATATCTACCACTAAGATACAGGAGTTTAATTAATAAAAATTCCACCAATAAACGCAGACATTAGTCATTACTGAAGATGTATCGAGATCAATTAAAATGACCATAAACCACGAAATTGTTATTATTAATTAACTATGAACAATGTTTTTATCCCTAACAATATTTTACTACGATTAGGGTAGTTTTGCTTGATGTAGATTTTGAGATGGAATGATAGTCTTTTTCTATGGTATACCAACTAAAATTTTCAATTTCCACCACTAAGACACAGGAGTTTAATTAATAAAAATTCCACCAATAAACGCAGACATTAGTCATTACTGAAGAAGATGTATCGAGACCAATGGAAATGATCATAAACCACGAAAGTTTTATTATTAATTAAGTATGAACAATATTAAATTACCCCAGAACGATTCCCTAATGTTTAAGCAAACTTATAAATTACATTTCATGTTTATCGTCATTGGAGGAAATACGTATGTTCGTCTAACCAATGCTTTCTCTGTTCTGCGATTATAATTTCTTAATAATACCATTAATGTGGGCAATATATGTATAATTTTAGTCATTTACAATATATCGTGATCCCTGATGTGTACCTAATTCAATGTTTCATTGCCGAAAAAAAAAATACACTTTCTAACGATGTGTTGAAGCTTTAATACAAAAAAAATTTATAACGAACTTTCACTTGAAATGCTGCGAAATATTTCTGTAGCTAATAAATCATTTCGTTAATATCGTCTCCATAAGCGTGCCAAGCACATGATTCACATAAATTATACCACCAAATTGACTAATCACACAGAAATTGAAAAAACTATTAATGGAAATTGATTGCACTAATTTTTGTTAATTGATAGGCACAGTCAAATTTGAATAATGTTGACAGTAAAACGTTCATACAATTTGACAACTTTCACTGCAACTGTTTTATTACACCGTAGCTTTATCAGGTGTCTAATGACAACAGAATTTGGACCATTAAGTTGGGTATGGCTACCCTGAAAATTATACTAATTTTTGGATGTAGTTGTAAAATTAATATAATATATTAAAGGTGTATGTTTGGAGCACGGCACTGTACGGGTGCGAAACATGGACAGTGGGCGCGGCGGAAAAGAAAAGGTTAGAAGCGTTCGAAATGTGGTGTTATAGGCGGATGATGAGGATATCGTGGGTAGAAAAGGTTAGAAATGAAGA